TACCTAATAACGCCATAAATTTTATCACATTTTTATCGTTTTCATACAAATTTCATCGAAATCCTCTTTGTATTCATGTAGTAGTATTTTTCAATTTTCAGTATTTTATCATAAAACACTTTCTTTATATCATATTGTATGTGATTTTGTCTAATTTTCATTTGAGTAAAATGCACAAAAGAGTAATCTACTCTCATAATTTTTTTTATTATAATATTGTACTTCTTGTTTTTCTTATTACAACAACAATGTACTTTCAAACTATTTTTTATTAGAACACTGTGCTTTGAAAAATTTACTCATTATAGCATTGGGTAACCTTTTGATTTAAATTTACCCATTATACCAAGTTTCCATGCCACCTTATTATCTATGTAGGCTGTCCATATGTAATATAGTGATGTGACTTTCTTATTACAACATTGTACTTATAAAATTATTTTATTATATCATTTACTAGTTTTTATTAAACAATTTACTTTTAATTTTAATATTTAGATATTTGACATGTTATTTAATAAATATATTAATGAATTAAAAACATTCTAAATTATTCATTAATATACCAAGATTAGTAAAACTAGTAGAAGACAACTTATCTCGCTAATATTTTTAAAAAATATGTGTTTTTTGATAAAAGAAAATAAGAATTGTTACTTTAACCAAAAAAAATATTATGGTTTGAAGAATGTATTATATTTGTTCAAAAAAAAACATTTACTTGACGTATAAATATATCAAATTAATTATATTTTATTGAATTATTTATTAATATAACAATATTAAAAAAATTGTAGAACGCAATTTATTTCGTTAACATTTTTTAGAGAACTTTAAAATATATGTAATTTTTTAACAACATAAAATAAGAAGTGTTAATTTTTTTTACAAACAAAATATATCTCGAAAATAATGTAGCATATTTATTTAAGAAAATATTTTACTCTAGAATATTTAATTTGCATGCAACTTAATAAGAAAAAGTCAAAAAAATTAAATGTTTTTTTAAATCATAGCTATGAAAAATGAAAATCACTAATAATAATTTGAAATAAGTTTTTATTTTTATTTTAACTAGAAGCACTACTCGAGGTTTTCTGAAGTGAGTTATGTTTGATGAGGACTTGTATTTTTCTGAATCGAAGGTTGTACCATATTTCGATGCCCATGCATTATCATCCCGTAGAGAGCAAATACGTGGTTCGCAACTTCATTTTTACAACACACCGATGTTATGAATCTTGAAACCAACATCATTATCCTTGTTTTTGTTTTTATGGCTGTATTTCGCAAATTTTAATACAATCATTAAATTTTCTTGAAGTACTTCAGCAACAATGATGAAAAAAGGTATCAAAATGACCATCTTTTTTGTTGCAAAGGAAAGGATTTAAATGATATTGTTCTCCATGATGGTGGAATGTTTGACGATTGATCCCACATCGGTAGATAATGGGAGCTGGAAGCCCTTAATAAAGATAGTTTATAGTAGAGGTGGCCAAAAATCGGTTCCGGGCCGGGCCATAACCGGTTACGGCCGGTCCCGATCAAGACAAAAACGTTCCATAACCGGTCCCGGTTCCGGTGAAATCCTCCATATCCGGTCAAGCTTACCGGTAACCGGTTAAGCCGTCCGGTCCCGGTTCCGGTCCCATAACCGGTTACGGCCGGTCCTTTGCAAAAAAAATATATTTTTTTTCAAATTTTTGGTAATTAATAAATTTATATATATATATATATATATATATAACAAAACATATTTTTAAACGT